GGCCACGTTGGCTTCACACACCATAGCATCACCATGACACGTAGCCTGCCCGTCGAGGGTTTAAGGGAGTTTTAGGAGGCAAAAGGAATCTCACATTTTCATTGCAAATGATCTACGGGTCTATCTCCCGCGCCTTGCACGCTGAGTGGTTGCCTCGTCTTGTCTTGCCAAGAGGTCTGAAGATGAAGCAAGCTTATGTCGTTCCTGAGCACGCCCGTACGTACGGTGATGCAGAGGTAAGCCGATGACGGGGAGCCCTCCTTCACCCTTTACCCCCCCCCCACTCTCACGTTCTCACGCCTCTCTCTCTGTATCTGCATGTACTGTCTCTCATGGGTCATGTTGCAGTCAGCCCAGCCTGTTGTAAGTGGCGCCGTTGACGTGCATGAGATGGTTTGAGACAACGGGAATGTACAGATGGGTCTAGAATTGCAAATCCTCTCTGCTCTCTAGCTCATGTCTGTACGGAGTAGGTACTGCCCCTTCTCTCCTCTCCCCCGCGTGCTCGTCCAACCCAACCGCCGACACCTCATACACCACATACACACCTCCCTTCCCGCCCCCTTTTTTGGAACCTGTACGCTTGCGTTGCGCCCTACCTATTTGCCTTTCACCAACCACCGGCCACACTTGTCTTTGACATGTCTGATATCGGGGACGTTTTTGAAGAGGCGCACGAGGCGTAGGGCAGTGGGATGGAGGTCCGGAAATGCAAATCCCATGCAACGTTCTCTCTCTATCTCTCTATCTCTCTCTCTGTTCCTCATGTACCATCCCTATTCGGGGCCAGCGGGCCCATTCTTGTCTCTCCCGCGATCCTCGATCCTGGATGGAACCTTTGGAAGGGTGTTTGCGCAAGAGGAGGAAAGGCAGAACGTTTTGTATCGGTTGATTTGCATTTAAGCGTCTAAGACATACTTTTGTGAACCCGTCTTTCTCTCCGCTCATTATTTCTTTTTCTCCCCTTTCTCACTCATAGGCACGAGTACCTATCCATCCGTAGACACTTTCTCTTTTCTGTCTGCGAGCTCCTTTCCCTTTTCGGCCCCCAAAGTCCTTACTTACCTTTTCTTGGGATGCCTTGAGATGGGGCCCTCTACAAGCTAGGTATGACTATGAGGTTTCGGGTTCCTCCATCGCGCGCCTTGGCATCAGAGACAGAGAGACACAGTCACGCAGTTACACAGAGCTTTTCACCTGGACGTCGAAGACAAGGCGATATTGGAAGGGGGGAGGGGGAGGTAAAGCTAAAAAGCCTTGTGCCCGCTTCGCTCGCTATCCGACTGCCGAACGGGTATCGCGCCATCGTTGAGTCAAAACATGTCCAGATTCCCTTTATTTTCCAATAAACTCGACCAAGGAGAAAATGCAGGACTGCTCGAGGAGAGGAGAGAGGCCGGGTACGGCATCCCTCCACCCCCCTCTTCCCTTAGCATGACCATTCTCCTACCTTACCTATCACAGGTTTCTAACCATGACTTCGTGTTATTCATCTACGAAAGAGGCACTGCCACGGGCAAAGAGACTGGGGAAAAGGCAACAAGGGGAACCAGGGTCTACGCGTTTCCTGCGCCTTGTTCCCTCGCCCACAACTCCCACCGCCGTTCATCGCCGACCTCTCATCTTACTTACATGGCCTTCAAATTGGACACGAACCTGGGGGAGACCTGCCGGCCGGCCGGCCGGCGGTGAGAGGACGATATAGTTCATCTTATTCATGCTCGTCACCCTCTGCCGGGAAGGCCGGGGGAGGGGGGGGGAGGGGAAGGGGAGGGGAAAAGGTGCGACTCTTTTGGGGGCCGTTTTGGAAATCTCCAAATGGAAGGAAACACGAAGGAGGGATGGGATGGGATCGGGACCTAGAGGTGGAACCGCGCCCCGGCATGTTGGCCTGCTTCTTTCGTTCTTTGTTTCCTGGGATGCCTGGTTAAGTCCACATTTGGGATCTCGTGAGGACCATTTCGTGATCTAATATACTCTCCCTCGCCCGATCCGAACTTGCATTCAGCATTCAGCCAACGAAAAAGAACCCTGAACAGGCACGACAGGCAAGGCACTCGTGACTTTTGTATCACCGCATTTTGATTCTCACCAGCTCGACAAGGATATCTAAATTGAATCACCAGGGTTTCGGTCCCTCGGAACTCCAGATTAGCCTTGTATATGTGTGTGTGTGTGTGTGTGTGTGGATGTGGATGATGAGGGAGTGATTGGGGAAGGGGGGCGTGTGCGTGTGGGCGTGAGGAAAAAGCTCAATTAGATGGGATGGGGGCCACAATACGGGGTAAGAAATGCGAAAGAAATAAAGAGGGTTTATCATAGATGAAGAAGAATGTCCATCGTCATCAGCTTTAACAAGAACGACTCGCAAAATGGCCTCATTTTCCTTTGGTAAGAAGGGTCAACTACACCTGTCACCCCGCCATGGTTTCACGTTTTGTCCGAAAGAGAGAAGCTTCACATAGCTCACGCAGTAGAAGAGAATGAAAGAATGAGACTGTTCCCACTGATGGGGATATTATCACACGCAACGCGAAAAGGGAAGAGATACGGACTCGCAGAGAGAGAGAAAAGAGATTACGCCAGAATCCATCACTGACCAACTTGGGCCAAAAAAAAAAACACTTACTCGTAATCCGGATTGCGGCAACGAAGCCGCCGCAAGGTAAAAGATGAATGCTCAGAGTGGAGCTTCGCTCTTCCTTCCTTCTTTCTCTTTCCATATCTCCCCTTCCTCTCTGAGATGTTGGGAAACCCGAAATGGGATGCACATTTTTGCAAGAACCAAGGGAGAAAATCTGCCTCGCCGTTGTGTGGCTGGGCTGGAGATTCGATGATGAAACTTTTTTTTTTTTTCGTCCTCATTTCATTGTCCCTCTTTGCTCTGCCTCTTGCCTGATTCGTCGTGCTCGCCCGTTTCCGCATGCTTTAGTTCCCAAAGTTCCAGAAAGCAAATACGAATCCCCCCATGAAACGCACATTACAGGCAGAGGCATCATCCCACTTGGAGATGGAGAGATGAGATAGAGGGGGAGCTCCATTCAATTTTAGACACTTGGCAGTCGAATGAAAAAAGGCAACACAGTCCAAACTCGCACTAGTTTTCCGCAGTCGAACAAGAAAATGTGATCGGACTGGGAAAAACAAGTTCGGTAGACGGTTTCCGTCCCATGTTCCATCACAAACTCTACTGTTCCGGATCAAGCAATGTCCTTACACCCAAGATGGGCGAAAGAAATCAAGAGGCAGTAAGTAATCCAAAAGTTTCCTCTGGTCCACGTTATTAATGCAGCAGCTCAGATCACAGGATCATCCCATATTTGGACCAACAGAGTTCACGCCCCCTCACGTCTCTGCGAGCTTATCAAAGCTCTTCTTATTCCCGCCGAGCCCATCGTCGTCCATACTTGATTGATAGCCAAGCAGGCATGATCTCTCCTTGATGATGATTTCGTGATGGACATTTCCCATTCATCTCAACTTTCAGAGTTCAAACTCAGAATCTCCATTTTGAGATTGAAGACGAAGGATGGGGGGGTAAACAACAGTACCGAGGGGGGATGAATTACAAGACAAATGAGATGTGGGGTTGGTGGGCAGAACATCAGCCTGCCACGCCGAATATTTCGAGACAACTTTTGTCAAAGTCGTCGGAGCGTTGGGAACACGACGCTCAACTTAGACGTCCCGAGTCCTTGCTCCTAGCCTCCAAGACCACGAGCCCTGCCTCCAATGTGGATGCCCACGCCGAGGTGAGGAAATGCCGAAAGTATGAAGAGGGTCCGACTCATGAAGGGAGGGAAAGCCGGATGGAGCAAAATACTCAGCAATGGCGAAGAGACCGAACCCTAGGAAATACCCTTTGATGGATGAGGGTTTTGCTTTTCCTTCTAGAGCTCCTTCTGGGCTTGCTTCCTTTCCTTCTGCTTAATGCCAAGCTCGCCCCGCGGTCCATCGAGAACCGCTTTATTTCTCATCTCCCTGGCGGTGGGGAAAAGGGAAAGGCCAGGGCGAAAAGGGCGGGAAGGCTTTCTGGAGAGAGAGACACGCCTGATTACCATTTCGTACCGAACCGTTTCAAGACTCAAGGGCAGCACCGGTGACCGTACCCTGCTTGGGTTCTTCTCTGCTTACTGTAATTGTGATGATTTCCGCCTCTCCGCTTGCCCAGCGCGGCTTCAATCTCCCGCGGCTGTGGGGGGACCACTGGCAGAATTAGAAGTGGTGTCTGCCTCGCCATTCTCCGCCTGTCCAGTCCTCGCGTCGCCGTTCACCCGTCCCCTCTTCCGCGATGCGTCCTGCTGACTCCGTCCCCGTGCCTGCGGCCCCCCACCCTTTTATCCGCGTAACATCATCGTCTGTTTTTCTCTTCAAAGGTGGGGAATGGTAAAGAACCTCCCCCGGCGGACACGGCGTGCACGGCAGACGCGAGCCGGTGAGACGGGAGGCAAACATTGTTTCGCCTTTGGAGGTTAAACCTCCGATGCGGATGGGCTTCAACTCAAGCCTCAAGCCTCATCCTCTCAGGTACAACAGTGGGCATGGGTAGGGATTCGACTGCCCAAGAACATGGCGAGAAGACGCATTGCGGGATTAGGGGCACCCCATGCCTCTGGGCACTCGGTGCCAGTCCCGGCTCCCTGGCCGGTTAGCGGCTGGCCTGTCGTTATTTCCCGCAGTGACTCGCCGGATGTAGTATCCGTGGATTTGGGGGGGTTTTGGGACTATGGAGGTTGGCACGTTGAAAAACGGGTTTGGCCACAGTGAGCTTTTGAGATGCAACCCCTCAAAGATCATTTCCATATCGGGACGCTAGCTGGAAAGGACAAAAGGCCTCGTCTCGGCGGGGAACGTCCGCATGGCCAAGTGGCACTGACTAGCCCTGCCGTTGTCTCGGTAGGGCGCTGATGCCCTGGACTTGTGTCTGGCCGAATTCAAACTCCTCACAATGGCCGCCCTCCCTGCACACTGCCCTTGGGACGTCCATCGCAAAACGGGATAGACTCGTGTGAATGACGTGCTGTGAACTCTAGACTCAGTCAGGATCTTGGCCTAATCTGACAAGCGAGCGCTGACATGCTTCAGCAAACGCCCTCGCATAGTCGGCCGATGTGTGCTGAGTTCTCCGTTGTAGATGAGATGAAACCTACGAGCCCTAGAAAAGAGAGGGAAACAAGGTGTTGCGCCTTGCAAATTGGATGCGACCATCTTGCCGTTCAGCCCGCATCTGCAAGGAACACTTGCATGTCCTCTCCTTGCTTGTGCATCCCCCACTTCACGACAGGATGAGGTTATTGTATCCGTACTCTGTATCCGTACGTTTAGGCGAGCTCTGTCGAGTCTGGCCTGGACCTGTCTATGGACACTGGCCCAGCTCCCCTGGCACGCCTGGTAAGAGACGGTGGGAACAGGGAATTACCATGACGTGCGGGACAATCTCCTTTTCCGAGGTTCCGAGGCGTGGCAGGGTAGTATCCCTCGCTACCCTCATTTATCTTCGACACAAGCCTTATAAGCATCGTCGAAGAGCATTTCGGACGACGACCTTATGCTTCGAGTGTCTAGTCGTCTCGAAATGGAACGGTAGGGATACTCGAGAGGACAGGGTCCCAAATCGGCCAGAGCGTCACAGGCCATTCCCTAGCATCATCGTCGACTCTAGCAGAAAGAGATGAGACGAGATGCATGAGATGGCTTGGATGAGAGGGCAAGCGGACTGACTTTCCCCACCTAATAAACTTGTGACAAAAGCTAGCGAGCCCAGTGCCGCAATCAGTCGAGCTTCACCTCTATCATCGAAACTTCGATCCAATCAACATAGTGGCAGAGAGCCGGCTGAGAGGATCCTTGTCCCCGTCCACACTGGCGTTCTGGAGAACGGAAGGGGTATCGGAAGGGAAAACCTGGCGACGCTTTGCCCTCCAATCTCTTTGTAATCCACGAGCAGGTCAGCCATGGTTCTTCACACAGGAGATGACGAAGAGGTATTCGTAGTTCCAGTACCTCAATGACCCAGAATTCTCCATGAGTTAGCGTCAACTCGGGAACAGGTGGCCAGAACCCTTCGAGACAACGACATTAGCACACGAAGCTCGAGTTCGCACAGAAAAGGCAGTCACTGGTCTGCCAGAACTTGGCCTACAGTCGCCTGCGAGGCACCCAGGGCCGTCCCATGAGAAAAAAGAGGGCGATCGTGTCTCAGAGAACACTGAAATAGCGTCCCGTGTCGTTGTTGGCTTGGGGCGACATCTGTCAACCACGCACGCCTCCAGACTAGTCCGCTGATGCGCCCTTTGACGGGCAAACGTGCTTGTCGAACCATGATTTTGGCACGAGAATGTTACAGGCCAGAGAAGCTAGTCCCGCGCCGCTCGTAGCGGCAAAGTTGTTAGCTGCCTGCATAATTCAACCCAGCCTCTGGTTCAAGGATCGACTTTGGCGCAAAGCTCGAGGAACAAGTGGCTCGAGACTGCGGTCGAGACTCGCGAGGGTCGTGAAGACAACGACGTTTTCGTGGGCCACAAACAGAGTCTTCGGATGAGAAGAATTAGAGCAAGACTCCCGTGCGATGATCATCACACAGATGTGTCTTCTTTTCTCATGTCTATCCGTAGGCTGCGCTGAAAAAGCCGCGTTTCCGGAGTTTGAGCTTGGTTGAGCGTACTCTTCCACTTCGCTAATCACGTTGTCCAAGGATCTTCATGCAGCCTCATCGCAGATCAGCTCGGTCAACAGATCTTTTTAGGCATGTAGGACAGTTGCGCGAGCTCCAACGAGCCGAAGGAGCGGGACTTGGCGCGTAGCGATGGCAGTCGAGACTCGAGTGGTGTGGGTGTGGGTGTCAGTGTCGCAGTGTCGCGGTGTCGCTCGTGGGCCTTGCACGGCTGGTTGATGCTCGTTATCCGTCCCCGTCTCCTCCTCCCTAGCCCATCGATCGCGTTCCGCCGATAACCCGGCCCCTTCCCCCTCTCCCACGCAGATCTTTAGGGCAAGCTTCGTGGAGGATCAGCGTAGCAAAAGCACGAGCAGCATGCGCCGCGGAACGCGTGCAAAGCACATGCATGCCACATATGGCTGGCCCAACTTTGACGATCGTGCCTTTTTTCTGCCAGGTGTGCCGAGCTAGCTTGAACATTAGCTATCTTGAGCTGGCCATCATCCGAGCTGATTCTTTACAGAAAATGCCTGTTCGGTATGACCACACCGAGGCCGAGGTGCTGAAATCGCTAGAGGAGACGAGGCCGATGCCAGGCCAGTCTTGACGGCGGGAATTGAGCTGGGTCAGGGCCTTGCCTTGAACCTGACCAGCAATGCTAGACCCCGCAGGCTGCAGGACCTGTAGTGTATCCGTAGGCATACTCACCAATTTTTTACTTCGTAGACATTGCCTTCGGCTAGGCGAAGCCAAGCAGATTGTCGGTTGCAGCTGAGGAATGCGCTATGCATGTCCAGTTGATGAGCATCGACACGGATTGCAAAGGAGCTTTCCTACATTGCGAATCGTCACATGCCGAATCAGATGCTCCCTCGTCAAGCGGAACATGGGCTAGCCGTAGCGGGCAGACAGTTTTACCATGCAATTCTCTCCGGAAGTCCGCGAATCCAAACTCATTGCAGCCAAGTCTGTAGTAGTGTTCTTGGGTGGTGGTAACTGAGCAGGTCTCTTGGAAGCGGTGACCAACAGTTCTTCCGGTTCGGTTAGAGGAGGGATCTAGAGTCCTTTCGTGCCCTTTCGCAAGTATGTGATGTCAGGCTGTCGATGCACAGCATGGCAGATTTCCAATTCAGCACTCCATGGTAGTATACTAGTGCTTGGTAGTGCCTAACGTCCACATCTGAGGAAAAGAGCCTCCCAGACTCCAGAGTGCTAACTCCCTCGTCGGCACCTTAGATGGGTGAGGTGAAACCGCCACAAAATTGGACAGTGGAAGGCTGAGGACGTCTGGGTATGTCCAGCACTGGCTTGGCGGGGTCTGACGGGTCCAGGGCTGACGGCATTGGGGAGATTGTGATTTGGGGATTCCTGCAGCGGGCGGATGAATTGAACGGTCAGGGATGTGGCGTTATCCGGCCCTGAGGATGGGGGGCAACGGCCATGCCTCGGTGTTCCGTCGTGGAAGAGGTAGAAGTGCAAGACCGCCGCCCAAGTCCCGGATAAGGTTGAGAAACCATCTTGCGGGAGCCACGATGCCGCTTTTGGCGGTACTGCAAATGCACCATCGAGAACTTGGCTTTGTCGTGGCCGGAACAGGCGAAAGGATGGACCTCCAAGTGATGGTGGCTAAAGTAGCGGTGGGCGCAGAGTGCACTCCTGTCCATATGTAGCGCAACTGAGCTGGTGATATAGTTGGAGCCGAATTGTTGGATCGAGCCACAAGCCCAAAGTTGAAGTCAAGTGCCCCAGAGCCGCATGATTAGTGTTGAGATCCGTGGCGTTGCTCGAAGCTTGTCATGCACGTCCTGAAGAGCTTCAGTCTGGTCTGGCCTCGGACAAGGGAAAGAAGAAGTATCGGTAGGCTGTAGACTGTGGCAATGTGGCACTTGTCCGTCACGTCGAGTCAAGGTCGTCCGAGGCCATTTACAGCAATAGAGGGCGTTTGTGAGCGTTGACGGTCTCCGTCTGAGTGGCACAACTCGATAAATGCGTACGTCCGTAACAGACAGCGGCCCTGGCAACAAAGATGTAGGTTTGATTATTAGTGGGCAGATGCTTTGCAGGATGCTTGGACGACTGAAAGAGGTTGGGTGAGGGTCGTAGCTAGGTTGGTTAGGTGTAATGAGATAGAAGCTCGAGGAAGCGGCAAGGGTTCCAGGTCACGGCTGCCGGGTTGAACGATTCCGAGGTGGTCTTGCCGAGTCTGAGTGCCTTGTGCAATTCCGGGAAACGGTCTTGGAGTTGCTACCATCAGCGGCAAGTGATATCTGTATTGACTGCATCACTCACAAAATTGAGCGTCAATTTTGATTTTGTTCTGTTTTTCGCGCACCCTCCTTCCTTTTCCCGCTCCTGCTTAGTGGTGGTGGTGGTGGTGGTGGTCATAGCAAGAGCAGTGGTAGGTGGTGACTGCACTCCGTGACTGCGTATTCGTAGGCAGTGGTGGTCAACGTGGATAAAAAGGATGACCCCTGTTTCCTCGTCACCGTGTTTCAGATTTACAGCCATGACAAGGGTTTTCCTGCCCTGTAGCTCCGCACCTTCTTAGCTGCCCAATGTCTTTCCTTGGGAGCTCATTCCGACTGGGTGGGTGAGCAGGGGTGGAGTTTCCAGGAAACGTCGTGGTTGTGAAGAAGGAGCGGGCACGCGGGATACATCCACGCATGGGCCCCTGCCGTTCTCACACCCATGCGGGGGGGGGGGGGGGGGGGGGGGGGGGTACTTTGTACTCCGTAGTGTACGTACCGCTACGTACTGCACGGTCATGCAGACTGAGCTCCATCGCAATCCAAAAGAAGCCTAGAGCCAATCGAGGGACGGAACCGCTCCTGCCACAAACTTCTCAGAGGGGAAAGTCCCGCCCTTGTTGATTGGTCAACATTCGATGGAAGGCGATCTGGGATCGTCCGGGCGCCATCGCATTTGCAAGTGCAAAGAGATTTGCTGGGTCCAAAGTCGAGAATCTGGATTCCAGATTTCGGTCTAGCCCAGTCCTCTAGCCCAGACTCCAAAGACACCAAAAGGATTACCACCACCACCACCACCACCAAAAAGAAAAAAGTCAACATAACCACAACGTAACGGCCATTTTCAACAGACTCGACTCTTTTCGTGTTTCTTGTCTGCCTTCAGCCGCTGTACATTGCGACTCATCATTATCTGATTCTCGTGTCGAGTCCACCAAAACGGTGTAACGCTCATGGCGAGAACGCCCTCATTCATACACAGTGCAACGTGAAAGGCTATTTATACGGCAATGGAAGCCAGCCACAGTCGAACGAGCTGTTCCGTACAACTGAGCATAGGCCATGATGTAGAAAGTCACAGAGCACCGCGTGCTCCTACATGTACGAATGCTCCGAAAACTTGGCCGCCACCGCCTCCCTCCATGCTGCGTAACGAGATACTTCAGAAAAGAGTTCAGATCCTATTCTGGCAACTGCGCCGCTGTTGGCTGGAAGAAGCATCCAATCACAAGACGGAAACTTCTTTCGCCTCTGAAGTCTGAACTTATGTAGTGAGTTGAGTTGAAGCAGCATGCGCAATTAGCCTGGAAATCCGGGATGGGCCTGTCGGCGTGACCTCTTTGGCGGTGCTGATCGACAAATCCACATGTGGTTGTCAGAATGACAGCTAGCAATGACCTTTCAAGGAGTCTCTTGGTGAACAAATCACATCGCTCAAGCCCAGGATAGTTTCCGGAGACGGGTGTTCGCTCATGAGATCAACAGTTGACGCTGCTGCCTCCTCTCGCAAACACCATATCGAATCGTGCATCTCATGTTGATAGTGCGCAGAACGGAATCGAATGAACTGCAATAACTTCAAACCGACCACCTATCACCTCTTCCACATCGAACCCCATGATAGGCTTCTACGAGACTGATGCCATATCTTCTTGGCGCCGAGTTCACCTCGCTTGAGCGGCAGGACTGAGAGGACGGCTGCACAACGCTAAGCTCGCTTCAATCTCGCCATCACCGACTACAGTTCTGAGAACGGGGGGAACTGAGCTATCAGCCTACTTTGGCCGTCAAAATAGCACTCCCACCGCACATATTCGACAAGGCGCAGACTGCGGCTCATCATTTCGCTGCCTAGCCGGACGTTCCCCGATCACGATGCGTTGGCCGTTGGGCAGTCTAGGTTGATGACTTTGGCTTCATCTGCGCACAGTTGCTATTGTGGACCGCGCTCAGAACGCTTGCAATCTCCTCTCGGTTCTCGATGCATTCGACCACCATTCCCTTTCCGGCCAGTTCCCTGTCGGAGGCGAACCAGCGTCAAAACTAATTAGCCACGACTACCTATCCGTACGCACATACGTCTTCTGCCTCCTTTGGATGTAGACAATGCGATGGCGGACTTGCCCACCCCCGGCACCGTGCCCCCTTTCAAAGCCATGTAGCAAGACGCGCCTGGCTTAATTGAGGCAATGCTGCACAGAGGTGGAGGAGGAGACGCTTCCTTGCCTGCCGCAGACTACCGAGGATGAGACGAGCGCCGGCGGGCGGCAGACGAGACAAGAACTGCATCAAACAGCTGCGACCAGGCGCCGTTGAGCCAGGCAGGCTTCCCGCCACCACCAAGCTAAACCATGGATGAAGGGGAGGATCTTTCAAAGTTGGGGTCTCTCCATGACACCTTATCCGGCAGAGTAAGAGCCTGGCTCTCGAAATCGACCTCCATCGATAGGCTTCCGGAAGCGCCCACTGAAAGACTTGGTTTCTCGATTTCTACATCGGGTCTCGCCTTTATCTTGACTGAATACCCGGTCATCAGCCACACCCCTGGAATCTGGAGTATTGTGCCGGCAAATTGCCTGATTGAGAGGACGTACTCAACACAAAATGGCTTGCTTGCTGGGCGCTATCTCTACATCAGCTCGACTTCGAAGGTATATGGCTGACCGCACACTTACGCGTTACAATTGTCACACGGCTAGCCCAACTAGATGACCTGCCATGCATGGACATTACCGTATCTTCGAATGCCTACAAACAATGACGTTGGGCTCATCTCATAAGCTTACGGTACAGAACGCCTAGCATTGTGTTCAGCTGACAGGTTGGTTGAAAATCAACGTCAGACAAACATGTGGCTCAATGCTGATTTCACAAGCAATTGCTCATCACCCGAAAGGAGAGAGAGCGTTCGTACAGTCCTGTTGCTACCTTAGACTACACGGGATTTCTTGAGTCGGGCCATTCTTTCCCATCCAACATCTACAAGGCAGTTTTCACGGGTTTACCCCAATGCACTTGCCTACTGCTCGCATTCGCAGCAAGATACCTTGAGGTAAGCACGGCAAGGTAAACTGCTATGTAAGCTATGGCAGGAGAGAGATGGCGCACAGCCTTAGGTACGTACCGATGTAACGTGTCCAGGTATCTCCCGAGCATCCAGAATCCTTCGGACGCACACGCCGCCCGCCCCTTGAGTAGTCGGTACGTCTTCACCAATTACGTACTTCGCTGAGGCGTGTAAGGCACCCCGTCCCGTTCTCTTTCTGCCAACTACGAACACCCATTCCCAGCTTCTTCGTTCCCTTGGCCTCGGTGGCCTCCTCTCACACCAACAACGACAGCCCATTTTTTAATACCTCGTCAAACGAAAAACCCCACACACCCCCATATGGCACCTTGACACCCTCTTCTCCAGCTCTCCGCTGATTCCTGAACCATCAATAACTGTGGCTGGCCTCTTTTGAATCCCACTTTGACTACGAACAGCCAACCCCACTCCAACTTGTTGCGCTGCTGCAGAGCTCGAGTCTGTTTACTCAAGGCTACAGTACCAATACCTCATTGTTTTCCTTGGGCCAAAATCTTTACTGCCACGGTCAAGGATGATGATTGTATGAGGCAGACGCGGAAAGGCAAGTGTTGGAGTAAGCGCTCTACGGCGAACTCAAGACCTGACTCTTGGGCTTGACATCCCATCCATCACTTAACTTGCTTTCAGTAGTCTAAGTACGTATACTTGGCCGACCTTGTTGAATCCAACAATACTATCTAGTCCGATAACCAGTGGACGAGGTCTGTGAGCAGCTGCTAAGTGAAGACAAGAGAAGCTTAGTAAATCGTACATATCATCCGAGGAACCTCGAAACGCATTATAGTTCCTCCGCGAGGCGGCTTTCATGTACGGATACGCACCAGTAAACCACCAGACGAGACAAGAGGGGCTAGGCAAAACATCAGCACGGCCAGGAGACGTATCCTTGTTCTTGCCTGCTTCAGCACGAGACTGCATCGCGTCCCATTCGCGTCTGCAGCGAGAGCATCCAATCAGCCTCTCTGAACAGATAGGTTTGCGAGCGAATTCGCCTTCTCAGCCGTTCTGCGGCTACAACCCCGCCCAGCTCCATCTCGCCCGTGTACGTATCGAGCTTGGGAATCCAAAAGTCGGAAATCAGTTTGCAGAGTTAACTTGAGCCTTGAGTACCTACGGGCCAAGGCAACGGCGGTTGATATCAACCTTTGAGAACGTACACTGTCCCCGATTTTCTTACTATCAATCATGTTGTCTCTGTCTATTTTCCCATGCTCTTGCTGCTTCTCCTCTTTCTTTCCTTCTGTCTCCAGGTGATGGTGTCGTTAACTAATCATCAGGATCGACCCTGCGCCTCTGGTCGAACTCTGCTCACACACTTCTGCATTTGTCTACTGCCTCAAAGATGCGTACCAGGCTATCCCTGCTGGCTACGGATGTTGAACTGCATTTACATAGAACACGGCGGCACGCGCACGCGCACACAGTTTCCCGACGACGACACCCCTCAATCACCTACCCACTTTGGGAAGCTAGGCGAAGCTACAATGCTTACCCCCACCGACGGCAGCTCCTGGCGGAGTCTCTATACATAATCAGGTCACAAAGCTGCATGCCAAGCTTGAGGGCGCGGAGAATTATCGACGGACCAGGGGACAAAGATGACTGTGTGCGATGCAAGCAAGAAACACCTTGCGCAGATGGAGGAGGGAATACTTGCGACAGCCTCATCGGCGTTGGCAGCGTCAACGTCCAGCAAATGGACGTCGATATCAAGGCCAAGGTCCGACATTCTCACGTCCCGGCTTGTCCTGCCCTACCCTCACTTGAGCCGGCTTGCCAGCCCCCCTTGACGGTCATACGCAGCGCTGCTCATGCATTGTCTTGCGTGTCGTGCGTATTCTGTCAGTGAGGGTGGCTTGCGCCTTGCCACCGAAGACTGGTCTCCTCCTGTTCTCGTCTCGCTTCTACTGATACCGCAGTCCAAGACCCCGCTCTTGCTCTTTAGCTCGTATTATAACCTAGTACGGATACTGTGGGTATGCGGTTACGGTTCATGGATACACAAGCCATAGGTGTTGGGTCACAGTACAGTAGAGTTGTGGTGGTGGATGGGTTGATGCTTCTACTTCTAGCTGACTGTAGCACGAAAGCCGCACCGATACTGGCACAGAAAGCATGGATACAACAGCATGTTGACTGGAAAAAGGCAAAAGCCAGTCCGAAGACGTCGCCGTCCTTGACAATGACAATGGCGACTCCCAGCCCAACCACCATGCAGCCTTTTCTGGTTCTGGGAGAGGGATCGGTAGATTTCTTACATCACTTCTCGCCCCCAACTTCTGATTTCCAACTGTCTTTGCTGCAGCACCCATCATCCGGCATCCTGGCCCTCTAGCATCTAGCATCCACAGACAGCACACCCACATCCACATCCACATCCACATCCCTCGTTCCTCATTCCTCATTCCTCGTTCGCCTCCAGTGGCCGTCAGTTCATCTTGAAGTCTGATTCTACGCCAGTGTGGGATTTCTCCATCTTGGCCCAATGCTGACTAGCCGCCTTCGCCACAGTTCCCGGGTTTACACCCCCCCTTTCATCCCCATCACCACCCCCCTCTTGGCCCTTGCTGAGTTTTTGGGAGTGGGAGAAGAGTCCATGTGGGCGTGGGCGTGCAGACACCCCCTCGCGCCACTTGATCTGTGGGTTGGGACCGCGGACTGGACTGGGCTGGGCTTGGACACAAACAACGCGCACCCCCCTGTGCTCATCCCCCTCCATGTGTCATCTCTTCTGATACGCGCTGGTTGTAAATGAAATAAACCAGGCTCACTGTCATTCTCCACCACGGGCAACGCACCTTGACCACCATCCATTCCGCACCGAGCCTTATCCTGAACTATCCGTAAACGGCCGGGCCATCTCCCAGACTCCTATGCCTCTCTCTGTGCTTTGCTTTCTCTTACTATCCGCACTTATTACTTTGTGGATGGTGCTTGCGATTCAAATTTGCCAGGAAAAGCTGGAGACTCCCTGAGTGTCTCCTGAGTACGAATACCTAGGACCTCGACGGTCTTGGATGGACCTGGATTGACTTCCACACTATGATCCTGCACGCCTCGTCGAATCAGTCGGGCCTTGCTGGAGTGGTTCATCTCCTTTCCCGCGTCTCCATCCAGCATCTGCATCTGCATCAGTATCCGCACCTGCACCCCCGGCCGGGGTTCCATGGGAAAGGGAAATGGCGAAATAACGAAAGAGGGAGGCAGACACACGCACACACGGAGGACTATTTCGTGGTGTACTTTGTAGAGAGGAACCTACACACACACACACACACACACACACATACTACGTACACACACATTGCAGATTTCCATATACAGACACTTGCGCACCGTACTTTTACAGGACACACCCCCGTCACTCTTCCCGCTCGTGGGCCCGCGGGTTCCCAAAGAACAGAAGCCGTTCAATGCCTGCCTGCCTGCCCCCCTCCATGTCCATGATCCATCCTCCTCCCAGAAACCACATATTACAATACCCACAGTTACGCCTCGGCTCCTATTACTGCTCCAGCGATGCATCGGCACATCGTCAGCACCTGGCGCTTTGATTCACACCATACCTTGTCATGAAGGTTTCGAGGCTCCGGCGATCTACGATACAGGTAGGTAGGTTGAGGAAAGGGATGTTGGGGGTCAGTATCAAGTTCTGTGTTGGCCTCGACTGTGATTCCGCGTCGAGTATCCTCGAGTATCTGTACATGGACTTCACGATGCGAGTTGTTCCTCCACCAGCCTTGCTTGCTGTGGCAACCCAGGAACGACACTCTCAGCCCTTCCCAATCTTGCCTTACGTCGTTGGCACTAAAAACGTCTCCATGCCTAAATGAGGCCGGGCCCGTTCGTGGAGTTGGCTTCATCACCGTACGCCCCGCCCTTGATTTGTACTTTGTACTACGAATCCCGATACGGATGGACACAGTAAAGGACTGTGAGTGTGATGAGGTAAGGTCAGGTATCTGAGAGACGAGGAGGAGGAGGGCGAAAGGACGAAAGAGCCCACGCGTGCCACGGTATGGGATACCTTTCCTTCCTTGACCTTGGCTCGCCTTTCCCTCTTCACTTTCCATGCCCAGTATTCGTACACACCTATCCGTACTCCGTACAACGGCATCGCTGCTAGCTAGTTCTGTTCCTTGCAAGTTGCCGTGCCTTACTAGTCCCAGTTGGGCACGGAGTTGCCTCTCATTCTCTCTCTAGGCCCTGGGGACCGGGTCTGGGTCTCTGGGTCCCTCTCGTCCTTTGGGAAAGGAAAGTGAGGTAACTCCGTGCCTTAGACGACTCCGTAAGGATACCTTAGGTACGGAGTAGAAGCTGCTGGCCTACGGATACTACTACTGCTGCTGCTGCTGGCTGCTACTGCTGGCGCCGCTGATGCTGCTGGGTCAGAGTCTGAGAAAGATACGTACCCCCCTCTCGGGCGTGAAATGCGGAATGGAAAGAGAGGTGTCCAGGGCAGGCCACAGGCCGCAGGCGTGTAACTCCGTACTCCGTCCGTACCTTACGGTGGTGTGCGGTGTCTGTAGTGTCTGTCCCCTTCCCTTCCAGTCCCAACCCAAGTCTCTTTCCCAACTTGGAGCTGGCCGCCCTTCCAGCTTCGCGCCTGTAAAAAAGGTTATTTCCACCACCTGCACCCCCCATACCTCCATTTGTTCTTTCCTACCTTTTACCTTACCTTACCTCACCTCTCGCCTCGGGTTTTTTCTTCAACCTTTCTTCACCTGTCTTCCTTCCACCCATCTTGACTGGCCAGCCAGCAGCTTTTTTCCTCACTTTTCCACTTCTTGACCTTCCTTCAAACTCCCCTTTGTCTCGCTTTCTTCAACCACTGCTCGCTGCCTTCTTCTTCTTCTTCACCAGCAGCTTGAGCTTGAGCTTCACTTTCTTGATTCGACACGACACGATTCCATACACAACAACATCAACAATAACAACAACCACCCGAAAAACACACATCAAACCCCAGAAACAAAATCAGCCACCCATGTTGTCTGATTTCACCTTCAACAACTTTTAAAAACACCTGGAGCACATGAGTATACATGACCATGCTCACAGTCAAGCAGCCAACACACTACGGCTACAAGTCCGTCCATGACCTACCTACTCCGCCCTCGACATCTCGACCCTCGCCTCCCTTGGCTTATCAAGACCACCCTTCGCACAAGCTGCTGCCGTCCATTCCCCGTAGCCACAGTCCAGCTGGCCAGCATATGTCGGCACATCATCGTGGCCTGCCTCCCCCGGCGGCCATGACTTTGCCGCCTCAGCCGCCTCACCCAAGCTCGGCTCCTCCTCCGCCACCTCCTCCCGCCCCCCAATCCATCGGCCAAGCTCAATCTAGCCATGGCCATCTGATGGGCCAGCTGCCCGGTCCGCCGCCGCAGTGGCAAGGCGCCGAGGATTCCATGAGGAGCTGGCTGGCAGCGAAGACCGAGGAAGAGCGCAGGAGACAGGAGGAAGAGAAGACGAGGCAAGAGACTTTGCGTCTAGAGCAACGGCGCATCGAGGCCGACATGCTGCGAACCTCGCTGAGCGGCGGAATCCCCCCGCCCATTGTTCCTCTTGTCTTTGCTGGAATGGGAGGCGGTGTTCCTCCTGCCGCCCTGGAGTGGGCACAGCAGTTCCTCGCCCAGCAGGGACAGCCTCAGCACCCCCAGCTACTTCCTTCCCAAGGTCCTTTGTCACCCGAGCATCGCCGCAATTCTCAGTCCCAGCCCTATGGTCAATATGCAGGCGTTCCTTCGACGCCGAGCTCCGCCCCCGGACCTCACGGATTCCCCGCCTACCCAGGCTCTCCCCAGCGGGGAAGGGCAACGACTCTGTCCTCAACCGGCTCGGTGTCCCGGCCACTCGGATCTAGCAATTTGCCCAGCCTCAACACGAACGTCCCCCATTCTGGACCACCAGGCCCGTCGGCACTGCAGAGCCACCAGCACGCAGCCGCGCAGTCTGCGCAGTCTCAACAAGAGGCCCAGCCGAGCCCGTCCATCTACTTTCACCACTGGCACCCGCCGACATCCCAAGCCGGAGGTGGCTCTACTCAGCCTGCGACACCCTCCGGTGCGTCCAGCAAAACCAAAAGAAAGAGAGAGTCGCTTTAGGCTAACCTTGGCTGGTGTGGCCGTTAGGGGAGTCTCCTAGGAACAAGCGCAAGGCCACAGGCCCGCAGCCAGCCCCTCCACCGCCAAGTCAACATCAACGCTTGCGATCGCCTCCTTTCCACGGTGGATCAACGCTTGAGAATCCCCCGCCGGGGCGAAGACGGGGTCATACACGACAACGCAGCGATCTTTCGTCGTATAGGCCGACGGGTCGTGGCCGAGGTGAGAGTTTCGGGACGCCTCGAGGCATGTCTCCGCAAGTCGCAAGCTTCAGCACGGCCCCGGAATACGGTATCGCCAGTTCGGCATCTGCTCAGCAACAGCAACAGCAACAGGCACCGAGGAGTGTTGGTGGACATTCGGTATCATCCCTGTTGTCAGAAGAACCATCGCATGCAGCTCAGTACGGACCGACGCCAACGGAGGCTTATCAAGGGCAGGGCGAGGAACGACGACGATCCCCGTTGTGAGGGGTGGACGGACGAGACGGACGCGTGGGGGTCGCAGGATCAGCAGCCATGCGACAGGCAGCACTGATTGAAATTTGGCTCGGGCCAATTTTACGACTTGTTTCAGCCATACATACCATCACGGCGAAATTTCGCGAAACGAGATGCATGAGTACGACATTTTCTTCCGAATTTTTCGCTTCTATTGGATTCATTCCGCCACGTTATTCTTCGGCCACGACTCTCGGCCCTTTCAACCCTCGTAACTGGAAACAGCGTCGGGAACGATAGGCAGGGAGAGCATTCGACGGCGGCTTCGGATTGCCGTCGATGATTTCGATTTCACAGAGAGAGAGGCATGGATTTCTCCTCGCAGCTTGACGCATTTCCAGATGTTCTGGAACTGGAGGCGCGCATTCTTCACTTCTTCAAAAGGCATGCACGGGTCACGGCACTACTTCACTTCTTTCGATTCTTTTTCTTCTTCTTTCAGGCGGGGGCGGGTACATCCACAGCAGACGAGCCTCGGGTTTTATCATGGATTCAAATTTTCTGCTTCTCTTTCTTACCACACCTGGTGTTTTGATGTGTATGGTACTGTCACCACTGCATATTTTGTTTGGGTGTACCTATAGCTGTCGGGTGTGGTGAAATCATCAACGGCCGGCCAAAATCCACCTGCGAGGTGAGACTCACCAAGGGGGATTGGTGAGAGCATTAAGACTCAGGTTGGAGTTATTTTTTTCAACTTCTCGATTTGGACAAGTTTTCTCGAAATGGAAGGGTGGACTTTGGCAATATCTTCACTCTTGTTGGCTTCTTGAAATCTAGGGCTGGC